TCTTATCTAATTATATATATTAGAAACGTCGTAAAATTTTTCTTAATCTCTTCTATTAGAATGAGAAAACTTTTTGAATTCAAACATGAATTTGTAGTACTACATGTGTCTACTTTTCAACCATTAGGTTCAGTCCCAAGCTCGACCACCTTAACTATTGAGTTCACTTAGTCGAGAAGAATGTGTTCTAAGCCCTTGTTTTGTGGGCATTTTTTTTTTTTAGGAAAATTTTATTTTGAATAATGAACTTTTAGATGATAGGTGGTTAAAAAGTAGGAAAAAAATTTAGATTTATGTGTAGAATATTTTATTATGTGAATGCGTGGTTGAAAATGAATATGTAGAAATTTTTTTTTTTAAAGAATGAAAAATAAACAAGGACTAAGGACATCTCCAAAGGAGACACCAAAACACCAAAATGCACTAAAAAATGGTGCAAAGTGTCTCCAATGTAGTACCAAACTTTGCACCATTTTGCACCAAATGGTGCAAAGTCAATTTTACCCTTTGCTTTTATTTTTCGAACAAATTAATTAAGGGTATTTGTGTAATTTGTGTTATATATTTTTTAATAGAATAAATTTTTATCAATATTATAATAATAATTATTGTTGTTGTGCGCATTTATAGTATTTTTAATATTGTAAAACCATTTCTATTTGTTGTTAATCTGAAAAACTCATTTTATTAATTGTAACACAGTATATCGAAGACATTACGGCTCGGGCGGGCCCCCGGCACCCCATATAGAAACTCAATATTAAACTAAAAATGTTGTCCTAAGAGCTTAAGGGTCGAGAGAGACTCATGAGAGGGAATGACTCCACTCGAAGAAAAAGATAGGAGCAAGCTCCTGAGAGGGAACGCGTTGGAGCCGGAATGGGTAGCAATGAGGTCAAGATTCTAGACTTCTNCTAAGAGCTTATGGGTCGAGAGCGACTCATGAGAGGGAATGACTCCACACGAAGAAAAAGAATAGAGCAAGCTACTGAGAGGGAACGAGTTGGAACCGGAATGGGTAGCAATGAGGTCAAGATTCAAGACTTCTCCTATCAAGTCAATGTTCAAAATGAAAATTGTAAGATATGAACCAACAAAAACAAGTCATAGACAACTGGTAGTCCTTCGGGTTGTTGATTTCCATCCCATTCGACTCGTGCAATCAATACAAGGGGGGTGCCTTCAACATACCATAGCGTTGCAATCTTCACACAACCTGATTAGGAGAGCATGATGTGAACAATTAAAAAACCCTTCTTCCGAGCAGGGGCGGACCCAGAATAATTTTGAGTGGGGGCAAGGTAGAAAATAAGCTTAAAAAATTGTGAAAAAAAAATCTTTTTTGGTTTTCTTTTTTCAGTGGGGCAGCCGACCCCGTTGGGCCCTTCATGGGTCTGCCCCTGCTTCCGAGAATCCAGGGTTAATTACCCCAACAGTCACTGAACTTTACTAAAAGTTTTCACCAGGTCACTGAATTTTAAAAATTACGTGGTTAGTCACTGAAATTTCGAAACTACAACCTTGTCCATCACTGAACATTAAAAATTACCCCAATAGTCAATGAACTTTGCAAAAAGTTTCCCAGATGGTCACTGGATTCAGTGACCATCTGGGAAACTTTT